AAAGCTTCTAGAAGAGTATGAAGCAAAGGAGAAACCTCTAGATAAGGCTGAAAGCTTCAGAAGAGTATGAAGCATTGGAGAAGTCTCTAGGATGATCTAAAGAAATCTAGATATGTTCTAGAGAATTCTAGAAAGTCTCTCACTAATCTAACATGTACATATCTAGATAGTTTCTTGTAAATATCTAGATATGATATTTCTAAAGAAACAATTATAGCCATTAGATTAAATAGATCTTAGCCATCCATTGAGGAGGTGGAAGGCTATAAATAGATAAGGCCTTCACTTGGCCAAGACACCTAGGCATCCACAAATTTAAGAGAGTGTATCTTTAGAGTTATAAGCTTTAGAAAGCAATACGGAGAGTTTTTATATCTCTTGTGTGTGTCTTTCTTACTTAGTAACTTTGTGTGAGGAAGACCGACTTGGTTTGTCTTAAAGAAGAAGAGAGCCAAGTGCCGCACGTGAGCTTGGGAAAGGCCAAGTCCGTGACAAGTGGTATCGAGTCGAGTTTTATCAAAGTGTGAGTAAGCTTGTCGCTAGCTAAAGTGTTCGAGGGAGTAAGCATGTCTAGCTTTGGCATGGAGGATGTTGCTAGGGATGCTAGGAATGAGACTCTACCTCCTCGACCTAAGAAAAGAAGGAGGGAGTCTCGTGATGTATTAGTTTCTTTGAATGAGCGACCCGTGAAGGCGGAGGAACACCTTACCGATTTCAAAGAGAGACTCGAGGAGATAGAGGGAGATGATGAGGGAGAGACACTAGGTATGACGAGGCCTATGTGAGGTGCTCTCCAATCTCCTAGCTCGAGTGAAAATGATTGAGAGGTGTGCCAAAGAGAACGCTACGGAAAAGGATGCCTTCATGGAATGGACGGAGAAGAGGTTCAAACAACATTAAGAGTATATGATCGGGTATGAGCAAACTCTTGAACAACTTAGAAAAGATTAGGCAAATTGTCAAGAAGCTATCTCGAATGGTTTGGTCTTGAGAGACATGCCAAAAGTTGAAGTGCCAAGACCAAGGCACTATGCTAGTAAACGAGATGCCAAGGAAGTTGATAACTTCTTTTAGCAAGTGGAGCAATATTTCGAGGCAATGGGCTTGATTGAGGATATAATTCATGTCAAGACCACTACCCTCTATCTTTTGGAGGACGCTCGCTTTATGGTGGCGTATGAAGCACCAAGAGCTTAAAGCGGACAATCTAGAGTTTCCTAGTTGGGATGAATTCAAAGAAGCCATATATGCTCAATTCTACCCCAAGAAAGTTGATTAGGAAGCACGAGACAAGCTACGAACATTGAAACATACGAGAACTATCACGATTATGTCCGAGAATATATTTCTCTTAAACTTCGGGTACGTGGAAAACCCGACTATGATCATATATATGATTTTATTAGGGACTTTAATCATGGGCATGACAAAAGGTGCAAGGTCGACGACCTAAGACCTTCGTCAAAGTCTGTGTCCATAGCTGAATCCTTAATTGAATATAACAAAAGGGCGGAACCCTCCGAGCCTAAAAAAGACTTCGAGGGCAAAGGTGGGGGAGCCTATGAAAAGAGGGAGTATAAAGATGGGCAAGACAAAGCATATAAGTCCAAGAGCTTTGTAAAAGAATATGATAAGAGAGAATTCAAGCCTAAGGGTTGCTACTTTTGCAATAGGCCACATCGGTGGAGAGAGTGCCCGAAGCGACAAGCCCTCAATGTCTTGATGAAGGAAAAAGAGTGTGCTCCCGAGCATGAGAAGCATATGGGATCGGTTCGGCTTCTCGATGCCTTTGATGTTAAGCCCTCACCTAAGGTGCCACCAAAGGACAAGCTTATATACGTGGATGTGGACATGAATGGCAAGGCCGGGCTTGCCATGCTAGACACGGGTGCCACACATAATTTCATGGCCGAGGATGAGGCCAAAAGACTTGGCTTAATGGTGACTAAGTCATCAAATAGCATGAAGGTGATGAATGCTTCCCTTAAACCTACTTATGACGTAGCGCGTGGGGTAAGGCTTGGCATAGGCACATGGAAAGGGACCACTAGATTTCGAGCATTGTCACAATGGACGACTTCGAGGTTGTGCTTAGGCATAAAGTTCTTTAAACAAGCGAAAGCCGTGCCTACACCTCATTTAGAGCAAATGGTGATCATAAAAGAAGAAATGTCATGCATGGTGCCGGCCAAGGTGCATGCTAGATCGGACTTGAAGCTTCTCTCGACTATGCAAGTAAAGAAGGGCTTCAAGAAAGGAGAAGACACCTATATGGCAACATTGAGAGAAGACAAGATAGTGGATGATGAGGGTACAAAAGTACCTAAAGAGATCATTAACATGATGGCCGAATTTGATGATGTGATACCACCAAAGTTGCCTAGAAGTCGCACCCAAAAGAGAAATTGATCGCCGAATAGAGTTGGTGTCGAGTGCTTAGCTCGTCAACCATGGCACCTTATCGGATGGGCCCTCTTGAGTTTAAGGAATTGAGGAAGCGAGTTAAAGACCAATGTGGTGGTCGATGCACTTAGTAGAAATGCTTGAGCTGCATCACATAACAAAGGTGGATGGGAAGATCATGGCCGAACTAAAGAAGGAATGGAGCATGATCCCACCGCCGAGAGTTTGTTGGCCTTTGCGAGGGAGGGCAAGACTCGAAAATTTTAGAAGGAGGGTGGCATTCTCTACACGAAAGGGAGGAGAATTTATGTACCTAAGTGGGGAAACCTCCGACGAGATTTGATGAAGGAATGCCATGAATCGATGTGGGTCGAACATCCGGGACAACAACGTACTAGAGCCTTGCTTGGAGGGAGCATACTTTTGGCCACGGTTGCGTGATGATGTGGAGTCCTATGTGAGAACATGTTTGGTGTGCCGAGCAAGACAAAGTTGAAAATCGAGCACTTAGGGGTCTATTGCAACCTTTGCCTATCGTGGAGAGACCATGGGAGACAATCACCATGGACTACATAGTGGCTTTGTCAAAATCGAAGAACTTTGGGAGCATTATCGTAGTCGTGGACAAGTTCTTCAAGTATGCCACTTTCATATCGGCCTCGGCGGATGTGACGACCAAGAACACCGCTAAGCTACTCTTCGAACATGTAGCGAAGTATTGGGGCGTGCCGCGACATATAATCGGTGATCGAGATCCTCGATTCACTAGGAAGCTATGGACGAGTTATTCGAGTTACTAGGCTCGAAGCTACATTACTCGATAAGTTTTCACCCTCGGACGGATGGGCGGACCGAGAGGGTTAATGCCTTGCTTGGAGATATACTTGAGGCACTTTGTGATTGCTAACCGACAAGATTGGGCTAAGTTCGTTAGATGTTGCTCGATTCTTTTATAACTTGCAAAAGAGTGAGTCCACTAGCAAGAGTCCATTTGAGATTGTGACGGGCCGACGGCCTCTCACTCCACATACGATGGTGCTTGGTGACAAGCACCGAGAAGCGACCGAGTGCATATTCGTTGGCTAAATAATGGCGAGGAGCGAGCGGATTTGACGCGAATGTGTTTGAACAAGGTCACGCGAAGATGAAGAAGTGGGTCGATAAGAAACGAAGAGATGTCACCTTCCGACTCGGTGACAAGGTGATGGTGAAGTTGCTTACCACAACGAACATAAGGCATTTCAAAAAGTGCACTGAAGGCCTTATACGACGATATGAAGGACTATTTGAGGTAATGCGCAAGGTGGGAGAGGTGTCCTATCGCCTAGAGTTGCCACCGAAGTCGAAGATCCATCCGGTATTTCATGTTAGTATGCTAAAATTATACCATGCGGATAAAGAGGATCCAAGCCGAGGTGTTTCTCATAAGGCGCTTACGGTAGTGGTTGACTCGTATGACAAAGAAGTTGATGTCATACTTGATGATCGCATAATCGGATGCCGTGGAGTGCCACCAGGAAGGAGTACTATGTGAAATGGAAGGAATTATCTTATAGCGAGGCTAGTTGGGAACCCGTTGAAGCCTTGTGGCAATTCGCATGGAAGGTCGAAAAGTATAATGGAGGTGCGCCGAGGACGTCGCCAAATTAGGTAGGGGAGAGTGTTACGCTCCGCCTAAAAGAGGGATTTTTCTAGAGATTCTAAAGAGCACTAGATAAGTCTAGAAGCTTCAGAAGAGTATGGAGCGAAGGAGAAGCCTCCAGATAAAGCTGGAAGCTTCAGAAGAGTATAGAGCATTGGAGAAGTCTCTAGGATGATCTAAAGAAATCTAGACATGTTCAGAGAATTTTAGATAATTCTAGAGAATCCCTCACTAATCTAAACATTTACATATCTAGATAGTTCCTTGTAAATATCTAGATAGGATATTTCTAAAGAAACAATTATAACCATTAGATTAAATAGATCCTAGCTATCCATTGAGGAGGTGGAAGGCTATAAATAGGTGAGGCCTTCATTTGGTCGAAGACACTCAGGCATCCACAAATTTAAGAGAGTGTATCTTCGAGTTGTAAGCTTTAGAAAGCAATACAAAGAGTTTTTATATCTCTTGTGTGTATCTTTCTTGCTTAGCAACTTTATGTGAGGAAGATTGACTTGGTTTGTCTTAGAGAAAAAGAGAGCCAAGTGCCGCACGTGAACTTGAAAAAGGTCAAGTCCGTGACAATTAGCAACAACTAAACATATATAGAATCAAGCATTCCCATTGGTCACTTTACACTGTAGGTATAAGGGAATCTAATATCTTAAATTTCATTACTTTGATTAGGTTAGGCAAAACATATAGTGATAAACACTTTGATCGGGCACAAACATCCATGATGCATCATTCACAGTCCACACGCCTTAGTAAAGCTTATGATTGATAATCAAGAACCCAAATGTTGAACAAGTTAATTAACTCTAGGATTAAAAGATTAATATATGATCGATATTCAAGACAAATGATTTGATCCAACAGGGGAGCAAAATACCCTACTTCTGAAACCATTTAAAAGTCAAAATTTAAGCAACAGACTTCAAAGCTTCGCCTAGGGCTAGGAATGCGCTCCAGGCTGCCTATTAGCAAGAGGCCCATGGCAACCTAAGAGTTTTGCATTAACTCCATCAGGCATGATCCTGTTCTCTTGCTTGCACTTCATATAATCCTGTCTGCTAAACTTGGTAAAACCCCATTTGCGACTCACTATAATCTTCTGTCGGCCAGGGAATTTAAATTTAGCTCTTCTGAGAGCCTCTTGTGCAGGGTTTCCATTTGTATCTTTGCTTCAAACAGAGAGCAGAACCTGCCCAATGCTAACCCTTGCACAAGTCCGTTGGGGCTTCACATATACCAGTTTGGAGCCTATCAGCTTCAGCACAGGAAAGCATCTTGTTGATGCGCAAGACATGGAAGGGATGCACTCTAACCCGAAGATGAAAAGTATCTTTTCCAGAGAACTTAGCCATATACTTGTTGCATGCAATGCGTGCGGCTTCAAGGGCTTCCCTTGACACATTTTCTCTCTCCCAAGAAACAAGATGCACAAAAGAATGAAATTCATCAACCCCTTTCTTTTTCATGCCCACATCCTAAATCCTGATCTTTGGATCAGGAATTCCTCTGCAGTACCTTGACTTGGGATAGGGCTTATTTTTAATCTGCTGGTAGCACCGAGCAGGCCTTCGAACCATGATGCCTTCCTATTATTATAACAAAACAAAAGCATCAAAAGATATGAAAAACCAATTCCCACCCTGAGGTCAGACCCACGTTCCTCATACATTGACAAAAAATATATATATATATATTCCCTCAGAACAAAAATTGTTTTCAACATTTGCATTCAGACAAGGCTGAAACTTTTCTATGAAGTTCAATCATTGGGACTTTCACAAGACAAAGGCGTAACATCGGATTATAATAACCCACAATGCCAGTAAATAATGCGGATTGTTGCAACTAAGACAATCCTTAAAAAAAAACCGATAAATTTTAATAACCATGGAGAGAGACTTTCTCGATACAAAAACTCTAATTAATTCCGGAACTCCTTAAAATGGCACATATAGAGACATATTGAGCTAGCTCCCTGAGAAGTAAAGGCTAGTTTTCAACATGTGCGATCAGACAAGGCTAAAACTTTAATGTAATATTGAATTTCAATCATTGGGAGCTTCTTAGAAGTAAGACAACAACAGATTTAGAATCCATCAAGGATTTACAATGAATAACAAGAAGCAAACACAAACAACAACAGATTTAGAACCCATCATGGATTTACAATGAATCACAAGAAGCAAACACAAACAATAAAAAAGATTAATAAAATTTCTGGCATAAACGTATGAAAAAAGGGGTTTGAAGTCTGAAAGCGATACCTGCTTTACGAGTCAAGCTGCAAGGGTAAATGATGTAATGGCAACTCTTGGCTTCAACCCGAATACCCCTCGCTTTATGGCTTAGGATTCTGTCCGATAATGGCTGCTACAGTCGTGTTATACTGGGCTGAGCTTTTATCTTGAGGCTTCATAATGGGCTTGGGCGCTGCTCTAAATCCTTTACCACAAATAGAATGCTTTACTTTTAGCACATCATAGTTGGTCTAAGATAATGAAAAAAATAAAAAAATAAAAAAATAAATCCATAATTGACTGAATCAACTTTTGGCACATGAAAAATAATATGATTTCAAGAAGAATAATTTTAAATTCATTGATCAAGAAGAATAATTTTAAATTTATTGATCAAATTATTATTCTCATAATTTAAAAAAAAAAATTATCAATATATCCGTCATTGGTATGTTATATAATAGTTATTAATAATTAATAAATGATATATTGATAATTATATAGAAAAAATATTGAAAATAACAATTCGATCCGTGAATTTAGCATTATTTTTTCAAAAAGTTTCATAACATGCTAATTCTATCATTAGGTACAAAACATTTACACCCAAACTGTTATTATATGTTCCAGTCTTAGCCTTTAATCACAAAAACAAAAAATCTATAAACATAACCAAACAAATATGATCAATTACATATATTGAAAATGTAACGAGAGATGTTTTTCATAACATGTAAGGTGGACAATTAAGTTACTAATTTACCACGTGGACTTTTGATGTAATTATTATTTTTTTTCAACTAAATTGTCATATATTTATAATATAAAAGTACTTGTATTTGATTTTTTATTTATATATTATAAGGAAAAAAGAACATTAATGTGGTCCTAAGAAAGAGAAATTAATAGATTTTTTTTCAACCCAAACCTTTAAATGAATATTTCTCAAAATATATTTGTTGTTAATTATTTTTGTTTTTTTGTTTAAACAAACTTAAAAATTATATTGTAAGTTTTAGATTAACATGTATAATATTTCATGTATTTAATCAAGTGGAACTGAGAAAAAAAAACTAAAATGTATCAAATACTAATTCAATCAATCTGAAAATCCATTAAGTTATTGAAAATTTTATTGTAATAAATGAAATGAAGTTGTTTTTTTTTATATATATATATCATTCTTATAGTTTTTTCAATTAAGTCCATCATCAGTAAAAATGTAAAAAATAAATAGTTAAATGTGAGATATGTTATTAACCAAATGTAATTTTAGTCAATGTTATTATAACGGTAGTTATACTAATTAAAAAGTGATGACAACAATGATAGAAGTTGAAGGAATCATAATTAACTAGTTAGGATAATAATTGTGAGGTAATAATGATTTCATCAATTACAAGTTTTAATGATGACCAACATGACATTAATGAGATAATAATGGCTATATATATATATATATATATATATGTTCTAATTCTAAATTTTCTCTTCTTAGAACATAAAAAATTAAAATTTCTAAATAATTGGTTTATGTTTTATAAATGTGTATGTGCCGGTGTGTGTAGAACCAAATGCTTTAATAGCTTTCTACGTGGATTGCTGTGCTTTTTTTTTTTTTTTTTTTAATTTGTGATGACAAAACTAATAGTTGATTGTTAGGTCCACACATTTCAATATTTAACAATATAAAGTTATGTATATTTGTTTTTCTTTTAGTTTATATATTTCAATATATAAAAAGAAAATTTTACGAGAATGCAAAAAAAAAGAAAAAAAAGAAAAAGAAAAAGAAAAATTAACACAACAAATTTTAATTATATAAAAATATTTAAAATTTGATATTCAAATCATATTCAATGTTGTAAGTATGATTAATTTAACATTCGATACTTTAATCATAATAGTAAATAATTCAAGGTTTGCATTATCAAAACTGACCCCGACTCCACGGAAGTCATATACAAGTTTTTTACTAAAAAAATATATAATATCGAAAATAGTTTTTTTACTAAAAAGAGGAAACCATATCTTTGCAAGTGAGATTGGGTGTAGCAGAGCTATTGGTGGTCATTGACTGCAGACAGCGAAAGTGACTGGATATGGTGGAGTTGTTTCTGGAGACTTGGGGAAGAAGAAGCGTTGAACATTAAATTGCCCCATCCATTATTAACCACAAGATTTCATCTAATGGTTATAAAATTGCCATGTCAGAGGAGCTAACACCGTTACTTCTTGAAGAAGTTCCGGGAACAAATTTAAAATACTAAATAATGGAACCAACTTGTAGGTGTTATGATCTTTCAATCATTCATGCTAGTGAATCAAGATTTTAGGTCAAGAGTTGGTTCGCTGTGTCATTTCTCGTTTCATTTCACTCTCTTGCAAATAAAATCAACATCTCCAGATTGTTCTTTAGTTATATTCTGGTAGATATTTGTAATTTACTTATTTAATATAATCTATGTAAATGAAAGTATATAGCGATGAGATTTTGATTTTTCTTTTATGATGACTTGTTTATTATGTACCATAAAAAATAAATGTTGGCCCCCAAGTAGAAGACTTTGTCTTTCAAGTATTCGACCATCATGACTTAGCTTCTTTTTTCTTTTTCTTTTTTCTGAGATGAATTGATTAAGATGAAATCTGAATCTGAAACTTTACTCAATGATTTTGCAAAAAGAGAAGGAAATTACAAGCTTTGACTGGATAGGCTCGAAGATATCCAACTTCCACATCAGAACTTTTAACGAACGCTTCAACCATCTGCATCCCAGATCAGACCTCATCTCCAACTATTGAGGCCAAATCTGCAATCACATGTTATTATCGGAAATCCTTAACTATGTTATTATATCAACACTGATATTAGTGTGCTATTTTTCATCAACGTCTACCCTTTTTGATAAGCTTGAAGTGTCCAAGACGTCATATCCACGAGTACTTAAGGGTAAAATGAAGAGTTGAAACAAGTTCATTCTTAACATGGGGAAGGCCAGATTCCCTCTCATTTCGATCATAAAAGGGCCAGCAAAGGAGCTGACATTATCTTTTCTCCTTTTGAGATTGAATCACTTGTACAATGTCTTCATATCACATACAAGAGATGAAGACCTTAATAAAAAATAAGAACATTTTATCCTTTCTAAAGGTCTGCCATCTCTACTTTACAGCACCGCCAGCTTAAAACACTCGACCAAACCAAACCAAACCAAACAAAACATTATTGATTGTTACCAAACCTTTTTATTGACACAGGCAACCAGTTCACCTGGGGTTGAAACGCCACAAGACCTTAGAAGACTGGCTGCAGTTGAGACATCAAATATCCCATCACCATAATCACCAACCAGATCACATGTTCGTTTCATCAACAGAACATCCAATTTCATGCAATCGTGTAAATACATTGAGCTCATTCCTAAAGTAAAAAAAAAAAAAACGACATTTAGGGAGAGCAAGAGAGCAAAACAAGCACACACAATCACAATAGTAGTACATTAAGACAATCGAAGTCACTGTCATCAATATGGGCATATCTCCCATCTCACATAAGTTTCAACTTATTAAAGACAACCAAACCTTAAAACTTCTTTAAAGTGCAAAATACATCCATAAAAACACAACCATATATAGGGCTAATGTTCTATGCAGATATCTATCTGCAGTTTCATCCACTCATCAAACCAAGTTGGTTTGGAAACATCTCAGACTCCAGGCTGAGCCAAGAATATATAGTTCATACTCCAGATAAAATGCAGCTCCATGACAGAAAGCAACCATCATCACCACATTAAGCTTGTTTTAACTTGAAAAATGTCATGATCTCCTTTATCTAAGAAAATAAATGAACATTAGACAGTTGAAACTCCTCCAAAACAAAAATCGAGGAAATAAGATCCAAAAGATAATGAGAAGTAGCATCATATGAGTTCAGAAATTAAAACCTTGATTATAACTTTGACAAAGTTTTCTGAGCATAGGGCAAATTCGAGCGCGGCGCCGCGCGTGCTGGTGCAGGCTCTTTAGCCCCATTCTCCTGCACCAGCAATGGGGTGGAGTTGGCTGATTGCTATTCAGAATCATCATAAAAATCTCCATCAGAAAGCTCATCAAATGTTCTCATATCAAGTTGGTAACGGAGGATCCCACCAATCCCACCAAATCCTCTGCAAAATTGGGATCCTTCTTGAGATTTGTTAGTAACAAACTCTAGAGTGCAACCGAACTTTTTGTACTCATTAGCAAACCACTCCAGCAGTGGCATCTTATCCTGAACTTCCAATTCGGCATTGGTTGTTGAATCCCTAAAGTTGCTCTGGTTGGTATCCTGCTCCTTGTTCAAATGTTTTATCATAACCTCACCAGTGACTGTGTTTTTCAACTGGTACCTATTAATATCCAAACTTTCCCACACAATCAAAGTTTCAACAGCACCCATCTCCAAAGCTTTCAGTGTGTCATCAACACCAAAAACATATTTTCCAGTATCCTGACTTATCTCTTCAAAGTACTTGCCTATCAAGCGTTTCTCCTGTATAAATTTCACATTGGAAAGAATTTCCGCTGACAGCTCAATTGCCTGGTTAAAACCATTCTCTCCTCCGTATGAAACATCAACCACATTAAGAATTTTTGCCTGAAGTCGAGGATCAAACATATCTGATTGACTCAACTCAGTCTTGAAGTCAGCTGACCCAGCAAGTATCAATCCTGAAACATTAGGCTGGCTGGTGGCAGGATTGATATAGAACTGTGTGGCAAGTTCTGCTGTCTTCCTCACATAGTTGTGGCGCTTCTCCATTCGAAGACGAGCAAATCGAAGAGCAGATTGCCCTCCTCTCCCGTGTTTCTTAGGAAGGTCAACAGTAAACTTATGCAGAACTTCACGAGTGTTGCCACTCAGTGTCCCAAAAAGAGTCCCATTCCCATCCATGACAATAAAACCAAACTTGTCATCAGATTCCAAGAGTTCATTCAGAGCTTCTGTATGAAATTTGTTGTCACAGAGGTAAAGAGACGCATTTATGGGCCTGAAAGGCTCAAAGTCAATTGTTACTTTCTTTTCCTTCCCATCTTCAGTTACAATTGTTCCAGTGTAAAGCACAAGCCCATTGGGAGGAACCTTGTTGTAAAGTTTGAGCCTTTGCTGAGCGGATGTAATAGCACCCAGCACAGATTGACGATTGACCCTGCTCTTAATGTTTGAAGCAGTTCCAAACTCATCTCCAAGCATCTTAGTGACACGAGAAATCTGATCACGAGGAGGCATGATAAGAGAAATCATGCTTGTGCCATTACCTCGAGCAGCTTCAAGTGCTTTGATAAGCTTTTTAATCTTCCAAATCTCAATGTTCTTATCAGTCTCATGGTCTGACATTCTGGCGTATTTAATAACAGACAAATTTACCTGCAAAGACAGCATAGCAACTTATATAATTAACCACCAATACTGATATATGGTGTGAAGAGAAATCACCAGAAAACAACAAAGCGCAGTGATATAAATAGCTAAAACTAGAAAAACCTCAAAGCTGCGACTTAGAAAATAAGATACAGAATTACAGACAAACCTCCGGACACAAAATAGCCTAAGGCAGCCTTATTTATAGTAGTCCTAGGTCTAAATCCTAGTCCTTGTAAGAAACAGAATCACTAATAAAGTCACATCCTCAACCAGGAATATAATCCTTTCCTAAATAAGATAAAGCAAATTTCAATAAATACAAAATCATAAGTTGAAAACCATATAAAAAACAAAAGAAAACAATAAAAATCATTCAAGTTTGGCAAACTAAAAATGATTTTGGCTACCAATTTCAAACACTAGCATAAGTTTATTCAAATCTCAATCAGATTTCATGTATTACAGTAGGAGACAACTTGCTTTCTATAACTGCTAATCAAAGTAATCCACGAGAGAGAAACAGAACCGAATAGCAAAATTCGATCTCGAAAATAATAAACAATAGAAAGTTCATAAAATTAGGAAAAGGAATCACCAGAATAATAACTAATCGGACAATCAGAAACAAGAATCACAAATGCACCCGAATAATTGTTTTAAAAACAAACAAAAGATCAAATAAAAAAATCTAAAAGACAATATCTGGTATAATAATAATAATAATAATAATAATAATAATTTCATATATAAACAGTGTGAAAAGGAGACACGGGTACGCACCTATCGCCTCCTGAGAAGAAGAGGTGGGGTTTTTCTGTTCGCCTGCAATGAGAGTCACAGAAATGATCGCACGCTACCTTCCCTTTTTATATGATATCTAACCCTAACCGAGCACAACGATTTAACCCTGGTTCGATAAAAATACCCAACCATGGTTAGATATTGTTATTCGGAGAACAATGAATCCCTGACCCTACGTGGAAGGGAAAAGAATACACGTTTCTTTCGAGATAAAAAAAAAAAAAAAAAAAAAAAAAAAAAAACTTTCCTGGCTGCTATTAAAAAAATCTTAAACAGTAAAGAATTAATTATAACTTAATCTCTTTAGTTTATTAAAATTAATTGATTAATTCCTTGATTTCGTTTTTTTGCATTCCTGATATACCTCGATACCTTATTTCCTAATCAAACTTACCCATCTTATTCACTTTCCTTTTATTTTTTGTATTTTCCAATATTAAAAACAAAATAAATTGAAAGGGGATATGGAATTGATAGAAGGACTACATTGTAAGTGGATTTGACAATATAAGATGACATAGTATTTTTTGAAAACACAATGACTAATTATACTTTCATTAAAAAAATTGTTTTAAGACTACATTGTAAGAGTTACACAAGGGTTGTTTGATATTGTAGCGCTATATTATGTTCCGACAACCATTTGGTGTTATGTCGTACTGTTAATTGAAGTGCCACTAGTAAAAGTAGCAATTGGTGATTGAGTGTTGCGTTTCTGAAAATATATATATATATATATATATATGAATGATAAATTGCTTTGTTTTTTATTAAAAAACAAAAGGTATCTTCCTTTCGTTGAAAAAAAAAATCTTTTAAGATGTAATCTGTCTGGCTTTCAAAGAAAAGTAAACTTTAATTAAATAGTAATTTTGAACCAAGAGCAAGTTAAAATTAGCCATATTTTAAAAGTACGGTAGCACTACTATATGAGCATAACGAGTAATCATAAGTTAATGACGGGAAATCTATGAGGTTATATTTTTTGTTCAAAAAATTATTAATATATCTTGTCTACTTCATAAGGTCATGAATCAAATAAATTAAATTATAATAAATAATTAAACGTTTTCACATTGTCTGCTTAATAAATAAAATTAAAAATGTGAATCTTTTTATATATAATAGCAAGTTCATAATTATAAAATAACAATAATGCATTTGTCGCATAATGATGTGGATAAATTTTGTGTTGTATAAAAAAATTTATTGATTTAGTTCATAATCTCACGTGATGGATAATTTACGTATAATAATTTTTCCTTCCATTATTGTCTTTTTTTCTTTTTTCCTCAGTGTTTATTACAAACTTTATTTTAATTTTTTTACAATAAAATATATATTTAAATTAGTTTTTTTTTTTTTATGCACGAAGACTAAACTATTTTTCCGTTGACTGTAAAGATACATTTCTAAATAAAGTTGATGGATTCACAAGGAATTACTTTATCATAACTTATAATTAAATTTGAATTTTGAATGATATAGTTCAAAGAAAACTCAAAGACAAAACCATGAAATTTTGTTGGGGAGACCAACTAGTACACTTTTGAACAAAGGACGGGTAAAAATTGGATTTGAGGGGTCAAAGAGTAACTCTCTGATATCGAGAAGATCATTACGTATAAAAAGTGCTAAGCTTCTCTCAAATGCACCTTGACATTTGACCCCTCCAACCCTATTTGCCCTATCTTTTGAACAAGTCTGCTTATCATATAACTACGGTGATTTTATTTAAAACCATGAAGTCTGGTTTTTTTTTCTAACTTGAAAAGGTAGAATAAAAATAAACGTAAATCTAGGAAAGGCAATGGGGCCAACTAGGGATGGGGATGGCCCGCCTTTGAAAATTTTGTTCCATCCCCTCATGGAACAAATTTGTTCGTACCATCCTTGTTTCAAACGGGACAGAAATCTCTGTAACTTACTGATGTCTTATGTAATTTTTTTTATCTCATTTTATTTTATTTTATTATTAAATTTCAAATAATAGTAAAAAAAATAATAATTTATATAGAAAAAATAAATACTAAGAGTTAGTAGTCACATATTTTATATAAGGTATGATTATAATTTTAAGGATGAAACAAGATAAACGGATAAATACCATCCTTATCTTATCTCCATTCAAAATAACTACGAGGAGCCCCATCTCGTCCTGCCCCGTTCTCAGATCAACACGGGGATTCAGAGTGAAGCAAATTGTCATCCCTACATAAATCATGAAAATGAATGCTTATTATCCTAGTATTTTAAAAAATGAAGCACACATATTGATATTTTTTACTATCTTTTTTTTCAATCATTTACCTATTAATTTTAATTTAATAAACTGACTTGATGGTTAATGTGAAGAATGCGTCTAATGGTTACTGTCGAAAGAAAATCATTTAGCCATTCATTATCGGAGATTTACGGGATTTAGATTTTTAATTTTTTGTTTTAATTATAAAAACGAAGTCCTTTTAAAGGCTTTTGACATTATCTGGCAAGCTAGATGAAGGGGTATAACTGCAAAATATTTTTTATCTAGGGATTCAAATTGAAATATGCATTATGCTTTTAACCTGTTCCATATTGATAAAAAGGTAAACTCTTAAGTATTGATATAAAGGTAAACTCAAGGACAGCAGAAGAACGACGGAAGCTGAGGTTTGGAAGAAACCGAGCGCCGGGTTTTGGCAGAAGCTGAGAAAATGGCATGGAGAGGACAACTTTCTAAGAATCTGAAAGAGCTTAGGATTCTTCTATGTCAATCTTCTCCTTCAAGTTCAACTACTAGGTATACGTTCTCTGTTTTTATTATTGACTCGTCATTGCTAACAAGAATCTTTCAAACTTCATCTTCTTTAGCTGTTTTGATCTGATTGTATCTTGTTATAAATGGGTTTTTCTTTTCCTTACAGAACATTTATAGAGAAGAATTACAAGGATCTCAAAACCCTTAACCCAAAACTCCCAATCCTCATCCGTGAATGCAATGGAATCGAGCCTCAGTTATGGGCTAGATATGGTATCCCTTTTTCTCTCTTTCATTCATATTTTTCGTCTTTTTTGTTGCTCATTTCACTATTTCCTTAAATTCCTCTATAGAGTTGTTAGATTTCGCTATTACTTGTGCTGATGTCTCCCAGGCATTTGAATAGTTTATGGTAGAATTGGATTCTGCAAATTATACTTATTGTAGAATTTGCAAATTGATGAATGTTGGATTCTTGGATTTTACACATTATTTTATTTTATTGTGGAATTATGACAATCTTTTGAAGTGGGATTTTTCTTTTCTAACGAATAAGTGGATTTTTTTCCATTGGGTTTAGAGTTTCAATTATCTTTAGGACTTGAGCTATATTTTTTTGTTTGTGTATTTGGGTAATTAAACCTGGCTTTAGATATTCTAATTGTACAGGATTTTAAAGTTTATTGGAAGATTAAGAATAGTAGTTCTTCTCTTTTGAAATCACTCAAGTCCATATAGTCATTTCAAATACCCAAATCTCCGAGCTTTAAATTGCTAGTAGGTTTCAAACACCCACATTGAACTAAAATTTTGATTTCAGATTACCAAAGCCAAATGCAGCCTAAACAGAAATCAATACGTAGAAGTCTTATCTCAATTTGATTTTGACTCTTTTCTTTCTGAAGCATGCTCATTATTGTGAAACTGTGAGACATGTTATTAGCACCTCTTCTCTATTCGTCATCACTAATCTTACAGGACTGAATGTTGTAGGTGCCAATGGCTACAAGTACTGGCAACAGATAAGTCACAATGTAGTAATTCAATTTTTCTAATTACAAGTTATACCGTGGTCCCAAGAAATTGTAATAAGTTAAGTGGTTAGTGATGGCAGTAGGTGCCATATTTTTATGGCCAACTGATAGACTTCATTTCTACTTTCCTTGAATTTGTTATATCAACTGCCGAACTAAGCTTGAAACGAAATATACTTCAATGATGAGGCCATAGGTTAGCGACACATTACCCTTGTTCAGTGGAATAAGACGCTTCTGATGGAATTTCTGATGGGCAGATCATATGCGACAAAATTTGCTTGTAGCTCTAAAGTTAAAAGGATTGAATTTCTTTTTAGTTACTTCTAATCTATTAACCTCGAGTTAATCTCTGACCTCACTGGCTGTATTGGGCATTGATATGTTCTTCCTATCCATTTTCATGGTGCTTATTTGATTGGAACACACAGTTTTGTTATACAGATAGGATCTCTTGAATTTTCATATGAGGCTTACTAGTTACTGGATGTTAAATGCACTGTTCATTTATGCATTTAGGCTCTGTGGAAAAGAATGTATTTTGTCTCTGGAAGTTTATCACGATGGACATATATGAGAATTTGGTGTTGTTTTAAGAAGTCTTCTCCATTTGTTGATTTTTATTTTTTTATTTGGTTGCTGTGCTTATTTGGTTCTTGTATGTCTGTTTTCAAGCAAATGGGTGGACTTCCTTTGAACCTGCAACGAGTTTCATTTGAATCTATTTTCTTTCCTTTGTTTGTAACCTGTACAAACTTTGTAGAAAATCTTTGCTTAGTTGTTTTTGAGTAATGAAAGCTCTTATTCATGTGTCTTATGCATAACCTTATGTTTGAGGTTGTCATACATTTCACTTGTGCCTTTATCTTTTGTTTTCCTTTGGGAATTCTCTACCCACTCATCCCCCACCGCACACCAAGAGAGAGGGTGTTCCTCTGAGCTTGTGCTTAACATATTTTCTGCATTCAATCATCTTGTATTTTATGCCTATCTATTTAGATGCATTCAAGTATCTTATTGCGTTGATAATGTCATACATAATATCTTGAAAGGACTGTTGGGAATGACTCAGAATTAGTTAATTACAAAATCCTCTTGGTTTTTCTTCAACGCTTACTGGAATGTCTGGATGGCTTATCCATTCTGTCATCTGGCTTAGAAACACAAAAATAGTGGTGTTTTTTTTTTTTTTTTTTTGGCATGATGGTGAATTAACCTTTATGTGTCCACAAGTATGGGCATGAATTGTTGCTTCGTGTTCTTTCCTTGTTCATTCACAATGACATGCTGAACTCCATGCTGGTATACATTTGTGGAGTTGTGTGAATTTTTTCTTCTTTTGTCCTTCTGCTAGCACTGGTTAGTTCTTAGCTTTATGATTGTAATGTGGAGTAGTGCAATCTTTGATTTCTATGCAGATTTTGGTGTTGAGAGGGGAGTTCGGTTGGAAGGTTTAGGTGAGGCACAGATCTTGAAGGCCCTAGAAGAGCTTGGGAAAGTGGGTGCATCACTTAAAGGTTGATACTGTTGCTGTTCATCTGAATGAAATCAAATAAATTGATATCGTGGGAAGATCTATTGAGTCCGCCCTTTGCACCGCGATCTATCTGATGTGCCCCTTCAAGTTTCTTATTTGGGAGTTGGACATTCAGTGTTGTTGTCTTATAGTTCGATCACAATTATATCATGGCATTAACATGTTTTCTTCCTACGGAATAATTATCATTGACATTTTTCTTTTTGGTATTTATGACCAGCACAACTTTTAGTTATGTCCAAACAAGATGGACCTCTAATTTGCAATCCTAAACTAGATGTCGACTGCTAGACCCTTCTTCAATAATCTATTGAAATTATCGTTCTTCTCTTGGTCGTTTTCCTTTCTGCCGCGTAGTATTCATTTGCAGTATACCGTGGATTGTCAGCATCAACCTGACTTGGGAATGGCGAATGGTCGTTATGGAAGATACAATATGCTGCTCGAGGCTTTTTTGTTTTTTCTGTAATTAATTCTATACTGATCTTTAGGAATGTATGCGGATCTAATCAAAGGAACTCGTATACAAATGGTAGAGTATGTTTCGGAGGAAACGAGTGGATTGATGTTACATACGTTGTTAATTTCTTGTTGGTTTTGATGGACTTTAGAAAGTGCTTCATAAAAACATGGAAGGCGCTCAACTCATCCAGTAACATGTTTCTTTTAAGTAAGCTAATCTTTCAAGTCCATCTTTAAGTCCTTTGGAACAGGAATAGACCAATCGGATGAAACAGAAATCCAACAGTGGGCCGGTTAAGACTTAGCTTTTGCAATGTCTGTAACAAGCACCAGTACAAGTAAAGCTAAAGCTTACCCTATTCCATGAGGGCAGCAAAAACCAGCACAAAGTGAAGTTGTTCCTCAGTTTAGTCCCAACTCCCATATACCAATGGGTCAAGTAGGGTTTCAAACAAATGGACCATTATGGCCCATTAAGCACTTGAGCCAATAGCATTTTGGTGGGAAGCATTATGGGCCATTCAGCACTTGACCCAATAGCATTTTGGTGGGAAGTATTCTAAATAATCAAAGTCACTTCCCTTCTTGTTCTTGTATTTTTCTGACTCGCTTTTAAAAAAAATATTTTATTTTATCTCTCTCTATCTCTCTCTATAAAAGCTAAACCCTAGTTAAACGCCAATTTAGCACCAGCACCGGAAGGCACAAGTTGAATTGAGAAAGCGAAAATAAAAGAGCATAAGCCTCTTAGCAGGACAGAGTAAAAATGTCTGTTGGTGTAAACACAGAAACCCTAGTGAGAATTGAGGAGATACAAGGAAGAGGCAGAGGGCTTGTATGTACTCAGCCCTTAAGAGGTGGCCAAGTCGTGCTCATAGATTCTCCAATCCTCCTCTATTCAGCACTCCCTTTAACCAAACAACAAGACTCAACCTTCCTTTACTGCGACAAATGCTTCAAAACTATACAATCAGCATCAGTATCTTGCCCCACCTGCTCTCACCATCAGTTCTGCAGCCCCAGTTGCCTTTCCGCTGCTCTGTCATCTTCTCACACTCCTTGGGTCTGCCAGTCTCTTACCCGCCTTCGCCAAAACCTAGATTTTCTTCAGCATCACTGTGTGGAACGTCAAATCCAAGCGCGATTCCTCATTGCTGCCTGCAATCTTGCATTCGTTTCGCCTTCGGATTTTCAATTTTTGTTGTCGCTGCAAGGCCGTGCTGAAGATGAAGATCCAGGTACTGTCCAGTTCTTGCGTTCTGTAATCTCATCTCTGTGTCCTCCTCCACCAATTGAGGGGTTCTCTTTTAGCTTGGAACTTATTGCGGCTTTGGTTGCGAAAGACAAATTTAATGCTTTCGGATTAATGGAGCCTTTGAATCTTAATGAAGAGAATGGTGGGCAAAGATCGGTGAGGGCTTACGGTATTTATCCTAAGGCAGCTCTTTTTAATCATGATTGCCTTCCAAATGCTTGCAGGTTTGATTATGTTGATACGGCTAATAATGGGAATACTGATATTATTGTTAGAATGATTCATGATGTTCCGCAAGGAAGGGAGATTTGTTTAAGTTATTTTCCAGTAAATAATAATTACTCCACTAGACAGAAAAGATTGCTGGAGGACTATGGATTTACCTGTGATTGTGATCGTTGTAAGGTCGAAGCCACTTGGTCAGATGAGGAGGGTGATAGTGATAATGGTGATGATAATGAGGCGATGGAAGAGGATGTCGATGAGCCAATGGAGGTACCATCTAATGGTGAAGACATTGACAATGATAATGGCACTGACTTTCCTCATGCTTATTTCTTTTTGAAATACATGTGTACTCGAAATAATTGCTGGGGTACACTAGCTCCTCTTCCTTCATCTGATGCTAAGCCATCAAATTTATTGGAATGTAATGCCTGTGGTAATGTAAAAAATGATGAGGTTTGTTGATGCTGGTGGGGTGCAAGCCTGGCTTTCCTCGAATCATTGACCTCTTGAAGTGATGTTGCTTCTTGCCAATTGCTAGCTATGGCGTGTAAGTAGCATGCTTCCATCAGAAAGTTTTGTCAACAGATTTAGTTAGAAGGGTTTTCTTTTTAGTATTGATTTTTAGTTTTCTATCATTTCAATGATAACGATTACGTGGCTTATGCATTAAAAACGAATTCTGTTGTATCTTGCTGATAAATGGTTTTGGAGAGGTTCTGTTTTTTCATATGGTAGATTCTGGAGCATTTTCCTAGTTTTCTAGCATTTAGATAAGCTATGATGTGAATCAGTCATGTGTTTTCATTAGCCTAATCTCATTGCACTCTGTGTAATCAGAAACAATTTGTTTGACGATGACATTTGAGAAAGAAAGAGTTGTTTTAGTCTATCAATTTGACTCATGGATAATTGGAGCTCATTACCACCTGCTGATAGATGAATTAGTTTTCTTTTAGAAAACACTCTTCTTTTTCATGGTATGCTGACTGAATGGGAGTATCTTTGGTCTTGCTAATGGATATGTAATGTTGCAAGTCTATGCACATAGCATTTTACGCAAAGATGATTTACTTTGTACGCACAATGGAACAGGGTTTTGGTATGTGACCGTGCAAGTCCCTATCAAATTGGGGGAAAGGAAGAAACTTGTGTTGTCTCTCTGATACCAACCACTCTTGTATCTTCTTATGTCATTCTTAATTAATCTTTCTTTGGAAAAAAAAAAAAAAAAAACTGGCTATAAATTTAATTCCATGCTTTTTTTCCTATTCTTGGATAAAAGAACTTGTTAAAAATTGATTTTCTTATGCTGCAGCACTGCAGTTGATTGTTTTGGATGGGTGGCACTATCTTGGTATTAAGTGATTGTATGTAGAATTCAGAATTGATAAATGATGACAAAAATGGCAGAAATTTGAAGGTAGATTGCAATTATTATCCATCCATGCTCATTTTGCGCTCTCTCTTTTCTATCCTTGCAAAGTGCAAACCACAGGCATGCAATGCGAGTGGAAAAGGTAAGTAAATCTTTTGTCAAAATGACTGGCACAGTAGTTTTCATTTCTGTTAAGCTATGCTATTATGTTTAGTCGAAATGCAAGCTGCAAATCTTTCTCTCTGCTTCGATGCTTAAGCATGTAAAAATTGCAGGTTTGCAGAGATGGCGGTTCTTTATCATGATAATCATCAAAAACAAAATGGAAAATTACATGTTGTTTAGTTTCATTGTGTTATATTGTTTTCTGTTTATTTTACTTGTTTAGTTGAATTGTTGCTTTTATTTTCCCTGCGGACTACTTTAAAACTCAAGCAGCAGATTTTTGGAAATAAGAAAAAGTGGTTTCGGTCTTTTGTTTTTCATTTGCAGGGTTACATTTACCATTGCCACTGTTAATGAGAACCAAATTCAGGTTACTATAGATTGGTTAAAGTCTAAGCCCGGGTTAAAGATGCTTAGTTTTTTTGTTCTGTTCGTGTTGGAGGAGTAAACTTCTCTTTTGAAGTTGTTATCCATCCTCTTATCCTCCATTATCTATTGTAGCATAGTTTGAAATTGCAGTCATTAAGGAACTGTTGTTATATAACGGTATTAGTAGAGGCAACTGTTGTTATATAACGGTATTAGTAGAGGCAATACTAGCGTTATTATTGTCACTATTTAACAAATATCAGTGGCTATATTTAAAAAAATAAAAAATTTCAAAATTTGCTATTAGTGCTATTAAACATAGTAATATTTTGTAATATGTATTTTATTATTTTTTATGATATTAAACTATTAGAAGTGTTAATAATTATTTTTTTAGGATAAATTTAGCTATTTTTTATAATATTAAACTATTAGAGATATTACTATGTTTAATTAGGAAAATTACTAAAAACATATAAATTAAAATAAATATATTAACAATATCGATCGTCGTTGTTATTATTATTATTATTATTATTATTATTATTATAAACTATCAAGATAAGTCATGATATATGATAACCACTTTTACAAACATATTTGTCATTTAGAATCATAGTGGGTCTTTTAGCTTCTTTTTTTCCCTCAACTTCGGTCCTAGATAAAAAGAGTCTTTTCATGAGTGAAAGAACATCGTTGTTGTATAAAAAAACTGATGTAACTTCCAAGAGAAAAAAAAATAATAACTAGTGTAACGGTTTCTTACCGGTTTAGGATTGGTTGAACTTGTAGTGGACCATTAGTTTAATTCGAGAAATTTTATAATACTTAAGGAATAACTAGCAATAAGTACGATAGTTATTATATGAAAGGAGAGAAAAAATTAAAAAAAAAATTGAGCGAAGGTGAAAATCTTTTTATCATTTTTTATGGATTTAAATATAATTTTATGTATCTATCTTTTTTTTCTAAGTAGATTTATAGAGTAATTATTGTATATGTTATTAATTACTCATTGAATATTATAATATTAACCCATATTAGCAAGATGGGTAAAGAAGTAAAGAAAAAACGTATCTGATATTTGGGCCAAGAACTGTTCAGACAGAACCAACCCAAAGCGTTGCTCGATCCAATCCGTATTAAATACATACCTGATATGTATACTTCTTTAAGAGTTTTTAACTAACTAATACAAAATTTTGTCTTTTGTAATAAAATGGGTGGAATGAATTAAATTTTACAATTCTATAAGGATCCTGTCAATGCCATGGTCTATATGATTGTAATTCTATGTTGGATTTTAGTCCATTTTTTTCTCAATGGAAGGAGGGACTTAAATTACATATGGTGAAAATAAAAAGGTTTTATACAGAATTTTGAACATGTCTAATTGTCACTCCTCTAGTGGTTAATACTTAATAGCATCTAACTTTCTTGTCTTTCCGTATTATTTTTTTCCTCCCTTTGTTTTCTCTGAATGGGTACCTACCATTTTTTTTCCGTAATTATCTCGTTTCTTTTTCTTAATTATCACTTAACAGTCAGAGATAGGATTGATGCTTTTTTTTAAAAATAATAATAATAATAATCTAAGTTGAAATCCTGAAATTTCACTAAAAGTTTATGGAAGGAAAATATTTAATCTCAATTAATTTAAATTTATAAAAATATCTCTCATTTTGAAATAAAAAAATGATCATTCACCTTTTTCTTTCTCTCCGGTTAAGGGTTTTTTTTTTAAAAAAAAAAAAACGGCACCTCACGTTGAATTAATGGAGAAAACGTGTCCGGTGGTGTTGCTGTAAAAGAATCCCATTCTTGCGAGTTGCGATTCTTTTTCTTAAATTTTGTAGCCCCATAAATAAAGATTAGCATTACGAAATTATTTTAATTCATTAAAAAAGAAAAGAAAAAGTTGGAGTGAAAATATAAAGCAGATATTATTAGAGGAGAGAGAAGATTGTACATGATAATCAAGAGACAAAGAAAAGGTACATTAAGTAAGAGAAAAAGCATGAGATGCGTTAAATATTGCGATTAGATTGAGGGGAGAAAAACGTACAGCCAAAATTTTTGTGAAGCAAACGGATCCCTCCTCTTTTAGATGCGTAAGATATTTGACTCTAGACAATTCGACAATTGGGATAGCGTTTTCAACAAAACCACCTTTTCCTTCTACTTCGTTACACCAGCATCCATGTCTTCTAGTTTTACAATCTAGCGATAAGATGCTGTCGGTTAAAAAACTGGAGGCATTTTCTTGTGTCTTTTTAGGTGTCCAAATGCCATTAGAAAGCAGCAGCTCTTGTTTGATATGAAAGGTGAAAGCAGACTGAGCGAGTGAATCACGGTAATGGATTTTGACAATGAAGCTTAGGAGCACACGTGGTTCTGTGTCTTACTTTCTGCCAGAATGCTTCGTGTACCTTTGCCTGACGTTGCCTCGATTTCGTCCATTCTAGTTCTAGCACATGGGAAACAAAGTGAGAGAGCTTCTGTCACTTCTACGCGCGATCTGAAAGCTAAACAATAGGATTAGTTGTTAAGCTATCGAATAAAACAAAATCAATGAATAATTATGGACACCAGTAGGTCATTTACAACACAATCAAACAATTAAGAAATAATTAAAAAAGAAAAAAACTGGTGAAACTCTAAGATGGAAAAATATTTACAGCCAAACTAATAGCAAAATTATTATTAATTTCCAAAGAAGATTACCGACATAAATTTTAAATTAAAACAACTTACTTCTTGGTACTAGTCTTTTCCCATCTCAAAACTCACTCTGCGGTTTTTTTTTTCCTTCTCTTTTCTCTCCTCTCTGTACTAATCTTCGATGGAAATCTTCACAATAAGAAATTGCTGCAACCTTCCCTTCAGCTTTCTTTTAAATGCTCGGTTTGCTATAGTGATCGTAAAATTTCTTATCTTTGCAAACCACTGAAGTAAATTTTTTTCCATTCCCTTTCACCTTCTCTTGAGGCTTTGCCATTCTCCCATAAAGGTTTTCGATCCCATTTCACCATATTTATGGTCTCAACACTAGCATCATCAATATTTCGTATGTACAAAAGAGTCAATTCATTTCGTAGTCGAAAATTCAATCCGGGTTTGTATTTCGTCGAGGTGCTAGGATCACGCATATTAACACCCAACACAGTAAGAAGACGGCGAATTAACAATGGTATAGACTGTCGTTGGTTTTTAAAAAATCATTGTTAAATAAAATTAGTGATGGTTTTGTAACAGTTTGAAAACTTTTGTCAAAAAGCTTGTCGCTAAATTTTAACGATGATTTTTTAAATTCGTCATTAATTTAACGATGAAAAAAATTATCACTAATTTAATTAAAATCGTTAAAAATTTTCAAAAAAAAAAACCGTAGCTAAACTTCGAAAATTAGTAACAGTTTATGAAATCGTTACAATTTAGTGATGATTTTTCAAATTAGTCGTTAAAATTATCTATTTAGCTACGGTTTTAACCGTCGTTAATTTTTTAAAAAAATTTTTTAACCCAAATTTTAATTGTTTCAAATTACCATACT